TATCTGACAAGGAGACCCTTTATCACCTTACCTCTTCATCATCTGTGCAGAAGGGTTGTCTATCCTTCTGCAACAGGCGGAAGCCCGGGGGACATTCACGGCGTGAGGGTGGCTCGGGGAGCCCCGGCCATCACTCACCTCTTTTTTGTTGACGATAGTTTACTCTTTTTTAGGGAAAATGAACGAGCGGCACTAAAAGTAAAAGAGTGCCTAGAAATTTACAGCATGGCCTCAGGACAACTCATCAATTTTGAGAAATTCAGTGCAGTTTACAGCCATAATACAACCACGCCACTACGGGAGATGGTCTCCAGGCTCATTGGGGTTCCCGAAGCGGTGGATTTGGGGCGTTACCTAGGCCTTCCGTCGGTCTTGGGACGTAACAAAACTGCAGTTTTTAAATATATCGAAGAGAACATCCGGGCAAGAATTGGGCTGTGGCAAAATAAACTACTCTCTCGTGCAGGTAAAGAAGTGCTGCTTAAGAGCATAGCACAATCCCTACCAATTTTTACTATGTCGGTGTTCCTATTACCTGTTCGTGTTTGTGATTCTCTGGAGAAGATGTTTAACCGTTATTGGTGGGGCGGTGGAGGTACAGGAAGTCGTGGGATTCATTGGCTAAGCTGGGGTAGGATGTGCACTCCGAAATCGAAGGGTGGGCTCGGCTTCAAGAAACTACACGAATTTAACATAGCTCTTTTGGCCAAGCAAGGGTGGCGACTTTTAATTCATCTAGATTCCTTAGTGAGCCGCTTATTAAAGGCAAAATATTACCCTACGACGGGGTTCATGGACGCACAAATAGGGTAGAATCCCAGCTTCATTTGGCGTAGTATTCTTGCTGGGAGGAGAGCTTTACAATTGGGCGTTGCTCGCCGAATCGGTGATGGCAGCGACACAAGGATATGGGGATAGGACTGGCTTGCAGGTCCTTCAAATATACATCTACATACCCCGTGTGTGGAGAAGCTACGTGAGGCCAAGGTGCACAGCCTTTTGAACAAGGCTGGGGGGTGGGATGTTGATATTCTCAGGGATATTTTTCTTGTGGAAGATGTACCCAGAATTTTAGCGACCCCGGTGAGTAACCAGTTTCGTGACAGTTGGCGTTGGAAAGGAGACATTCGCGGTTGCTACACGGTCCAACATGGTTATTGTTTGTTAGTAGGTGAGGCGGCTCTGTACGATGACACTCACGGTTTTCTTGCGTGGAAGGCGTTATGGGCATTGCCAATCCCTCCAAAGGTAAAAAAATTTCCTATGGCGTTGTGCTCGTAACATTCTGCCGGTCCGAGATATTCTGCGTACAAAGAGAGTTTGGATAGGTGGGGGTTGTCCGATGTGCGGTTTTGTCTCGGAAATAATAGAACATCTCTTTTATGGCCGTGCCTTTGCGGAACAGGTCTAGGATGTAGAGAATGTGCTGCGGGGAAGAGATGTTTTTAGCTATATATCTCAGGTGATTGGTGGTTCATCGGTGGACGAAGCGGTGCATCTGGCAGCAGGGCTCTGGACTACATGGTTGTTACGCAATGATGTTGTGTGGCATAATAAGCAGCCATCGGCTGAGGTGGCCCGTGAGCAGTTGTTGCGGCTACCGACTAGCTGGAAAGAGGCATATACTGCCTAGCCTACTGCCACAATCCAGACTGCCAGCTGGTATCCGCCTCCAAGGCATGCTATCAAATGCAATGTTGATGTTGCACTATCCGGGGATGGCGCAAGTTTTGGTGCGGTGGTGCGGGATTCCGAGGGTCGTTTTGTTGCGGCTAAAAACGGGCGTTTGGAGGATGTAGATGACCCTTATATGGCTGAGGTGCTTGGAGTCAAGGAAGATTTGTTATGGTTTAAATCGCAGTACCGTAGTAATATCATTATTGAATCTGATTGTTTAAACTTCTGTAATGCATTTAATTCTTGTAGTTCTAATTTTTCGTATGTTGGTCTGGTAGTGAAGCAATGTCTGTCGATTGCTAGCGACATGGAGAATGTTAGTGTCTCCCATGTCAAGAGATCAGCGAACCGTGTGGCTCATGAGTTAGCTCGGGCGACTGTTTCTATGGCTGTCTCAGGGGTGTGGACTGATATCCCACCATCTTGTATCGTGCGTTATTTAAGTCAGTAATGGAAGTGTGTGACAATTTGTTCAAAAAATTGATATGTTTAATTGTACTATAACATTTTAAAGTTGGTAAAAACTTGTCTGAGACCGTCTCACGGGTCTCAATCCATGAGACGGGTCATATATTTAATTAATGAGGTCAAAAATCCGGCCCATTAATCAAATATTTAACTCATTAATAAAAGATTTGACCCGTCTCACGGATTGGGACGGTCTCACACAATTGTTACCCTTTAAAGTTCAATTGTCTATTTGATTTTTTTTTCTCAAAAAAAAAATTATATTAATTGATTACTATGAATAAGTTGATATTGTTTTAAATTAATCCAATATCAGCTTCTTCTTTT